AAGTATTCAGCTGCCTATACTTTTTTGCTGTTCTTTGTTTCCCACAATTCCCCCTTTGGTTCTATGTATAAAATTCAAAAAAGCCATTGAGGCTACATGATTTTCTTTTATATGCCTTAGCTTTCTATAGAAGCAGCATATGGTTGCAAGGACAAAAATTAATAAGCAATAGAATTAAACTAGGACATAAATTATGTGAAATACTTGCACCCAAGCACATGAGTCAAGCCTCTCTAAGCCATATACCATTTGTTTAATTACATCAGGTCTAGGGGATGACTTTTAGCCCATCTCTAAGTTTACTGAAAATTTCCCTTTTCAGCTGAATAACATGTACAGAAAAGTTTCCCTTAAAATCCTGCAATCGCTTTCTAATCAAAGCCCAAGTAAGTAAGCTTACATTGTCCAAATAGGGGACTACACAAAATTTGCACTGTTCCCATCTATATTAGCCATTAGTTAATGTTAAATGTCCATAATCTTGATCTTCTAGCAAATGAACAGTCTGTTGTAAGAGTCTACCCTGTCATATAGGATCATTATGAGCCGGCACTGTCTAAATGGCAGTGAGTTAACCCTTTATTAAAGAATTCTCTATTCTCTGATTTACATAAGTATAACTTTTATCATTTTCAAAGGGACTCATCTGTTTTTGCTTTTTAATATTTAGAGTTTGGGAACCAAAAGGAAGTCTAAAGGGGCTGTATGTTAGAAGGGGTAAGGTTTTCCATTAATATTCTTTTGGTCAGCTCTTGCTACCCTCAAAGAATGAGTAAGTGTATTATAATTTAAAAAATAATAAAAACAAACACACACACACACGTTTCCTGCCCTTTAACTCACCGATGACGTTTTAAAATTTCTTAAAAATTTCCTAAAAAGCCTTCATGGTCATCTTGTGTCCCTGGAGAAAATCTATCAAGATTAGTCCTTGAGAATCTCCAAAAGTAGTCCCTATAAGCTTTTGATTTGACCTCTACCTTGAATATAAGTGGTGTAGTAGCTCTCTTGGAAGCCAGTGTTTTCATTGGAAGTGTAGAGGAAACTAGCCTCTAACATCCGAAGGGTCAGTAGGTACAATTGTACAGTTATAATATATAATGTAAAGTCATAAGGGATAGGAAAGATAGGAGAGAGTGCAATAAAGGAGTCACACATTTTATGGTAGCATGCTCATCTCAGCTCCTTGATGGCCCATGTGGAACTGGGAGAAGAGAGAACCTTTACTATCTTGGGACATTTATAGGTAGCCTTAAGACATGAATATTCAGTAGTTAACATGCATCGCAAGGTGGGTGGTGACTGTATTAAGGTCCTTGAGCTCACATGTGAGGAAACCTCATACCTGCATTGGGAGAAGGTATGAAGAGGGCTGGGTGTCACTGTAGGAAGAAATAGCCACAGGATGTTTGCTTCTGTAAGGAGATAGAATCAACCATGTGCTCACTTTAAGGCAGCATAGCTGTTAGTGGAGAATCTGTGGGAATGATATTTAAAGTAGGATAGTGTATTTGGACTTTATCCCTAACTTATCAAAGTGGTGACTTTCCTACTGTGGAATACTACCTTTCCAGATTCCCTCTGTTATAAGGTAGGGAATTTAGTCCTCATCATACTTCCCTCAGTGTTAGTTTCCCACATGGAAGTGTATTACTTAGAGAACTTGTTTGTAGACATACCGTGATCTACAGATACATTTTAAAACATGTTTAATTATTAACAAGTCATGCACCCATGAGCTGGAATGCTGTTTTTACTGTTCTTTGTCAATTCAATACTTCAAATCAATACTGTAATTTAAAATGCAAATTCTTAGATGTAATTTGTTTTCACATATGTATGAAGCTGTTGAAATCCATGACTTGGGTGAAACAGTTCTCTGCCTTTTATCACTATAAAAAGATCTTTAGAAGCAGATTTGCCCTGTAGAAGACCTATTATGGAAAAAAAAAAGTGTGGGGTACAAAAGACTTTTCCCCAGCTTTGTCTCCCCAAAGATGTGCCAAACATTAGAGGCTGTTTGCCAGCACATGGTGGGAGGTCAGATGCTCAGAGATAATCTCCCTGAGGGCATTCAGCCATTAGACTACTGTCTGGTCCACTGTAGGTGGGGCTCACACCTTACTGCTGAGGATAGTAATTGTTTCCATGGAGAGCCAGGGAACAGGTAAAACCTGCTCAGTGACATCCAAAGTTAGGCTGCCATCCTGAATCTAGGATCTGCCCATCTTGTCACATGTGTATCCCCAATCCCTCCCCTTCCTATTGCATGTACACCCCTAGATTGTCCCCCTTTTATTACTGTATTACCTATAGTACAACCGCTTCCTGTGACGTATGTCTTTACCTGGAATTAAGAGTTTGCACGCCCCCCCCAAAAAAAAAATATAAGCCTTGGTTAGTAATAAATTGCTCTCTCCCTGGGTCCTCTCCCCTCTCCCCTCTCTCCCCTCTCCCCCTGTCCTTCCCTACTCCCTCTTCCCTGCCATTCCCACCTTTCACATTCCCATGTGGACCACCAAGTGGGGCTGAGGTGAGCGTGCTACCATGAAATGTGTCTGATTCCTTTCTTTCACTCTCCTATCTCTTTTGTTCTCTATGACTTTGCTGTAATCTTTACATATTATCACTGTACAATTGCGGCTGCCAAGCCTGTGATGATTTGTTAGGGGCTGGCTTCCCTGACCGCCCCCCCCAAAAAAAAAAAGACCTGTTATGATTTCTTGACTACCATTTCCAAGTCTTTTTCTTATAGTGTTGTATACTGGTCCATTGTGAAGATACTATTTTATTTATGTTGTTTTGCTATCCATGCTAAAGGCTGTAGCCTTGGACCTTTATTAGAAAATGCTTTAAATCTTTGTTTTAATAAGCCAGGTTGTATCATCTACAGATTGTACGTTGTTAATGAGTCTTCCTCCAATTTTAATGCAGTGTGCTTCCTATTGTTCAACTTCTCAGATTTTATGCTCAGCATACAGATTGAATAGGTGTAATGAAAGGGATACAACTTTGACCGTTCCTGATTTAAATCAACCCTTGTTCTGTTTGAACGATTGCCTCTTGGCCTTTGTATAGGTTCCACATGAGCCCATTGAAATGTTTTTGGAATTCCCATCTTCAGTGTTATACATCATTTGTTGTGATCCACATAACTGAATTCCTTTGCTTAGTAAATGAAACACATATTTTTCGTATTTTCCACTTTCAGCCAAGATCCATTTGGCATCCCTTGTCAATGTACTGCTGGAATCAGTTTGAATCATCTTCACCCAAATTTTACTAGCATGTAATATTAATGCTATTGTTTGATAGTGTTGTTGGAAAACCTTGTTTGGGATAGGCACAAATATAGACCTCTTCCCGACTGTTGCCTGGTAACTTCCAAGTTTCTTAACATAGACTGAGCATTCCAGCATTGCATCTGTTTATTGAAACATCTCAGTGGGTATTCTCCTAATTCCGGGAGCCCAGTTTGTCACAAATGCTTTCCATGTACTTTGTACTTCTTCGGTACCATTAATACTACTACTTATTAAGCAAAATACATATTTCCTTCAAACTCCCATGGTATTTTTTTTCTTTTTGCCTCAAGGCTTTATTATCAATTC